GGCAAGACTTGGTGAGATTCACCAAAATTTGGTGAGATTTGGTAAGACTTTATGAGATTCACCAAAATTCGGTGAGATTTGGTGAGATTCACAAAAAAAATTGGTGCGATTTGGTGCTATTTGGTTATATTTGGCAAGATTTGGTGAGATTCACCAAAATTTGGTGAGATTTGATGAGATGTGATGAGATTCCGTGCTGTTCAGTGAGGTTCTCCAGGACTGGGCGGCACTCGGTGGATTCCCCGAGTTTTGGTGCTGAACCCTGAGGTTCGAGGGGAGACGAGCCGAGGGATGGGGACGGATCCAGAGGGGATGCCGGCAGCCCCGGGGGATCCAAACCCCCTGCCCAGCCCCAGAGCTGCCACATCCGCACCTCCGGCCCGGCAGGACCTGCAGGTGTCACCGGGTGTCACCAGGTGTCACCGGTGTCACCACGGCGCCGCAGGGACCGGGCGGACGCGCCGAGCCTGTTCTGCCCCCACCCTCTGCAAACCCCAAATTCCGGGCAGGGGACACGCCAGGACAGCGGGCACCCATTCCCGTGTTTCCATCCCGTCGTCCGTGGGGATTTGGGAGCTGGGAGAGGACTCAGGGACAGCTCAGCAGCACCATAATTTGGGTCACCCATGTTTGGGGTTGTTCTGCTATCCCAAGGCTGAATTCTGCAGTCAGAATCTCTGCCGTTAAATATTTCAGCTGCTCGTTAAATATTTTACATTTCATTTCCTGATCCAGGTTTTTAAGGGAAGGCATTGCAGTCCTCTGTGGGCACAGGGACATCCTGAGTGGTCCTAGAGGAGAATATTGTCCTCTGGACCATGTATGGGACATCCACACACTGGGGACAGGGCACTCTGGGCACTCCAAGGTCTGGGACCTCCACGAGCACCTTGCTGCATGTCGGGATCATGGAATCATGGAATGGTTTGGTTTGGAATGGGCCTCAAACAGCACCCAGGGCCACCCCCGCCACGGGCAGGGACACCTTCCACCAGACCAGGCTGCTCCAAGCCCTGTCCTTTGCCACTCCAGGGTGGGGCAGCCACAGCTGCTCCGGGCATGAGACCCTGGAGCTGTGGGAGCACCAGGCAGCTCCTCCCTGAGCTCGGCTGGGAAAGGCTGCGAGGACACGAGGCTCTGCAGCCCCAGCAGAAGCAGGGCCAGGCCAACAGTTCCATCTCCTGGCCGCGGGGAGGGCTGCGAGGGGCAGGGCTGGGAAAGCCGGCTGTGACACGGCCGGGGGACCGTCCTTGGCAGGGGCAGGGGTTCTGTGAGGGGTCTGGATCCTGCTGAGTCCCACCGGCATGGAACCGAGCTGGAAACAGGGAGCCAGGCTGGACTGTGGGCTGCTGGAGGTGTTTGGTGCAGCTGGGGCAGGGCAGTCCTCACACCAGCTGGACGATGAGCTGGAGGAGCATCCTGCCCACCCTCATCCCTGCCCACCCTCATCCCTGCCCCGGGCACTGGGATGTCTCTAGAGGAGCATCCTGCCCATCCTCATCCCTGCCCCAGGCACTGGGATGTCTCTGGAGGAGGGAAACCCCCCCCGACTGCCCGTGGGTGGTGGGGGGATTCACTGCTGTTCTCCAGGGTGATGGTTCTTGAGCTGCTGTGACCTCCAAGAGCCTCCTGACCCCTCAGAACGTGGCTGGGACCTTTGGGAAGTGAGGAGACCCCCCTGGGCATCCTCTTCACCTGAGGAGCTTCACCCAGCTCAGTTGTTCCTGATGTTCCTCCAGCACACTCAGCTTCTCTCTCCATCGAGCCACCCTCACTTCTGGCCTGTCCATGGGGACATGGATCTGGTCCCTTGCACAACATCCTTGCCACCACCCTGTCCTCGTTGTCCCGTGTTTTCTCTCCTCTCACTGCTTTCCTGGTGTTTGGTACATGAGGGTGTTTACCTGACAACTCCAGTTAGCCCAGGGCTGGTCAATTCCTGTGATAAAAGTCCTTAAAAAACCATCCTAGAAACGACACATTCAAATAATCATCTTCAGTATGGGCTTCAGGGCTACATTTCTTACATTAAAGGTGATTTCAAACACCTTTAGTTTGTTTTCTTAATTTCAGTTCCCTGGAAAACATGAGCAGGAATGGATTTTTTCCCCTGAATTAGCAGGTCCACAAAACCCCCCCTATTTCTTGACAGTAGAGCTACCCAGGCAATATTCCCTCATCCAAACAAGAATTCCCAGTTTAGATTGTGCAGCCTGAGGTTACCTGATCCCCTGGCACTGAAGGACAAAGCTCCAGAAACTCGAAGGTGTTTGGACAGCTGACCCCACCTCATGTTCCTCAAAGAGCCAGAGCTGGGGGTACCTGAAATACCTGAGATAAGACACCTGAGATAAGGTGTGAGCCCCTTCTCAAGATTCCCCACGTGACATCACCCATCCTTTCTACCCCCATGGAGCACCCCTGAGGATTTGAGGACATTCTCTGGGGTTGTGTGGCTGAAGTGAAGGTCAGCCCAAGAGTCTGTCTTGGTGGAAGGACAAGATCTTAATTCCTTTGCTCTGAGATCCTGAGATTAGAATTCTATTTTCAGCACTGCTGAATTTCTCGGAGGCTGTAATGACTTGCAGGTATAATTCACTCTCCATTCCTTCCTGAATTACAGACTTTAATGTGTGAAGCCATGGCAAGCAGCAGAAGGAACACGTGTCTTCTGTCAGTAAACAAGCTTCTCCTGTAGGTAAATCAGATTTTTACAGTATAAATATAGGTTAAGAGAGAAAAAGTTCATGCCTGGAGTCCTGGGACTTGGATTTTCAGGGCTACGAGGAGTTTGGAAAGCAGAGGAAGATAAACATCATTCCCAACCAGAAATATTTTGGTGATGTCACATGGTAAATAGCTCATCAAGGGATTGATTATAGCAACTTGGTGTTTGCTTATCATCTGCAGCTTGAGCACATTCAGTGTGTTCCCCAGGGATGGGGTTGGAATCTGGGTAACGAGGAAAACACGGAATAGATGGAGGGTAAAAACTGGGATGTGATGTGTGGGAAAGGGGCTCCTCAGCCTCCCTCTGCTGCTCTGGCATGGGAAATGCTGGGCGCAGAATATGGAATATTTTTGTTTGTTTATTTGTTTCTAAGGAGTTTCTTCTCTAACTAGGAGCAGGGAATCCATGGCTCCTGCTGAGAGCAGGGGAGGAAGAGGAAGCAGGTGAGTTCTGTCAGGGTGTCTCTCCCAGCTGCTGCACCCTGCGAGGAGCCAGGAGTCACTCAGGTTGGAAAAGCCCTCTGAGATCCAGCCATTCCCAGCCCTGCCAAGGCCACCACTGACCCCTGTCCCCAAGTGCCACATCCACAGGGCTTTTAAACCCCACGCCTGCCCCGGGCAGCTGTGTCAGGGCTGGAGAACCCTTTGGGGGAAGAAATTTTCCCTGATCTCCAATCCAGCCTGCCCTGGCCCAGGCTGAGGCCGTTCCCTCTCCTCCCGTCCCTGTTCCCTGGAGCACAGCCCGACCCCCCTGGCTGTCCCCTCCTGTCAGGAGCTGTGCAGAGCCACCAGGGCCCCCTGAGCCTCCTTTGCTCCAGGGAACTTCGGGGATTTCCAAAAGGGCTCCCCCTTCGCCAGCAGCAGGTCCATACACCAGTTTCCAAATAAAGCTCCTTCTGAAATTCCATCCTCCATTTCCAACAAGAGACAAGAGCAGCCAGCCCCGGGCAGGTGACAATCTGCCACCCCCCAGTGCCCTCCTGCTCCCCGTGGTCACAAGGACCCCGCAGCCACGGCCATGAGCAACAGGAACAGGCTTTTGCCACAAAAATTCAACTCAGGCCTGGGCACTGGTAAGGCCCTGGCAGCTGCAGAGTCTGTCCCACAAGGAGGGGACAGGGAGGTGACACATCCCTCCCCAGGAGCCCAAGGGAATAAAAAAGCAGTTTCCTCCTGGCCCCTGCTCCAGGCAGAGCGGGAGGAAGGGTGGAAGCCGTGCATTATTTGGCACAGCTGGAGCCCGGCACCGGGCACAGCTCAGGGCTGCTCCACCCAGGGCACCTCCAGGAGGCCTCTGGCGTGAGCAGGTGCTGGAGGAGAGCAGCACCCAGCCCTGATCCAGCAGGAGGAGGTTTTCATGGAATCACACTGTGGTTAATGCTGGAAGGAGCCTCTGGAGGGCACCCGGTCCCCATCTCTGCTCCAGGACTGCCCAGACCGAGTTTTAACATCTGCAAGGATGAAAAGCACACAGCCTCCCTGGGCAAGCTGTGCCAGCGCTGCACCAGCAGTACAAAAGTGTTTTCCTGAGGTTCCCATGGTGTTTCAGGTGGTGCCCATGGCTTTGGGCTCTGCTGAGAAGAGCCTGAAGCCCTTCCTTCAGGCATTGATGTCAGGTGAGCAGGTACCTCTGAGCTTCTCTTCCCCAGACAGCCCCAGCTCCCCCAGACATTCCTCGTGGATGAGGAGCTCCAGTTTCTCCCTCATCCTTCCTCAAACTGTCCTGTGTGTCCATGCCACTGCTGCAGTGGGGCCCCCAGCACAGCCCTGCAGGGTGGGCTCATGGCTTTGGGAATGATCCCTCCCTCCCCTGCAGCCCAGGGTGCTTTCAGCACCTTCTACCGAGGGCACACTGAGGGGCAGTGCCCACCAGTGCCCAACAGGACCCCAGCCCAGTCTCTGTCCCAGCTGGGTGTCCCTCACTGTGTGCCTGGGTTCTTCCCCAGGGCTCCCAAACACCAAGTTCTGCCTCCTCAGGCCAAGGCTGGAGGTCCCACAGCCATTTCCAGCCCCAGCAGTACCAGAAATGGACAGAGCAGAGGCCTCAGGGCTGATCCTGGCTCATGTGAGCTCAGGACATGATGACAACCCCTCTGATAAGGAAGGAATTCTCTTCTGAGCAAGGAATACCCATGGCTCTGTGCCCATCACTCCTGGAGATGACAGGGCTGGTGGCCCAGGTGGGCAAGAGGCTGATGCCAGCTCCCCAGGGGTGGGCACAGCCTGAGCAGCTCTTTCCTACCTGTCCCAGTGAGGTTGGGGGAACAGGAGCAGCACAGGGAGTGCAGAGATTGTCAGTGCTTTATTGGTGGCAGGTGCCTGGCAGGGACAGCAGCACAGGGACCCCAGAGCTCAGCCCCAGGGGGGTCTGGCTCTGCCCCAGGCCACGGTGGGAGCTGCTGGAGGGGGCACCATCCCCATCTCTAGGTGCTCCAGGATGGGGGTGACAGGACCACGCTGTCACTGCCCTGAGGCTGCCGTGCTCCCACCATCGTCATCCTCATCCTCCTGGTCTGGCAGCAGCTCTGAGGGGTTGGCACCTCGTTGAGGCAGAGCTCTGGGGGGCTGTTCCTTCTCCAGGCTGCAGCCCAGGCCTGCAGGAGATGAGCAGAGGGAATGGCGAGGAGCTGGCTGGATCCAACCTCTCCCCTGTGCTGGAGGTGCAGGAGGCACCCGTGGGGATCAGCTGTGGTCACACAGAGGGGGATGAGCCTGTCCAGGGCTGCATCAGAGACCCCCCCAACAGGGATGGGGATGGAGAGAACCTCGGGCCCTGGAGCAGAAATGGCACTGTGGGGCAATGCCTGGGAGTTTAGGGGCACCCAGGGTGGAGTGAAAAGAGGAGGAGGCTGCCCAGGAGCACAAGTGGAGACGGAAAAGCAGAGAGAATGGTCTGGGGTGTGGAAATAGGGAATGGTGCCTCAGAAGCCATCACCTTCCTCATCCTGAGCCTCTGAAGCCTTCCCCTCCAGGCTCTGGGACAGCAGGGTCAGCCTCTTCAGAGCCAGCAGGGCTTTCCCTGTTTTCTGGAGGGAGGAGAACGGGCACTGAGCCCTTCAGCAGAGCCACCCCCTGTCCCCATCACCCCACCAGGGGCACTGAGCCCCTCAGCAGAGCGACCCCCTGTCCCCATCAACCCACCAGGGGCACTGAGCCCCTCAGCAGAGCCACCCCCTGTCCCCATCACCCCACCAGGTACCTGCCACTTCCTCCGTGCCAGGAACTGCCTGATCCTCTCCTTGGACAGCACCTTGGGGCTGCTGGGCTGGGGGTGCTGCAGCCAGGGGTGCAGCAGAGCCCCTGCACTGGGGAGCCGTCGGCTGCAGCACACAGAGAGGGTCATGGGGGTCTCCTCCACCCTCAGACCCTCACCTGGAGGGTCCCCTCCACCAAACAGGCAGAGCTTTCTCTCACCCACCCTCTCAGCACTCCAAAATCCAGCCCAGCTCCAGCTGAGCAGCCCACAGCCACCCCCAGGCCCTACCAGGGGTCCTTCTGCAGCAGTTGGCTGATGAAGTCCTTGGCTTGCAGGGAGATCTCCGAGAAGGTCTCCTCCTCAAAGTCCCACTGGGCAGCTGTGACGTTGCTCAGGGTCTCCATGTCAGTGTCCCCCTGGAAGGGTGACTCCCCGCTCAGCCTGAAGAGGTGACCCCAGGGCATCAGTGAGAGCTCAGCCCCCTCCAGCCCAGCCTGCCCCGCCAGGAGGGCACTCACAGGATGTAGCAGATGACACCAACGCTCCACATGTCTGTGGAGAAGCTCACGGGCTCAAAGGCGACCACTTCTGGAGCCATGAATTCGGGGGTGCCGTGCAGCACCTTCACAGGGGTGTCTGGAGCTGCAGAGAGGAGGCAGGAGGCCAGTTGGGATGGCCCTGGGACAGAGGACACACCAACACAGCCCAGCTGGAGCTGCCACCCTCCAAGGCTATTGCAGCTCTTGGTGCTCTCCAAGAGCATCTCTGTGTGCCACCCCCCCGTGGGCACGGGGGTCCTGGGGGTCTCCACCTCTGCAGCAGCACTGGGGACACCCAGCTTTGCCCAGAGCATTGGTGGCTGTCAGGAAGGGCCCAGGCAGGAGGACACCAAGCTCCTCGCTGCTGTGCCAGGCCAGATGTGTCCCTGTGGCAGTGCCAGTCCCTGCCCTGCACCCCAGGAACCCCTTGGTGCTCACCCAGCCTCCGTGCCAAGCCAAAGTCGATGATCTTGACCCAATGGCTGCCGGGGCTGACGCAGACGATGTTCTCGGGTTTGAGGTCCAGGTGGACGATGGCCTGGCCGTGCATGAACTGCAGCCCCTCTAGGATCTGCCGCACGTACTGGGCGCTGCTGGGCTCCGTGTGCTCGAAGTCGTCGTCCACGATGCGCTCAAAGAGCTCCCCGCCTGCCACGCTGGGGACAGCCAGGTGCTGGGGACCCTTTGGGGTCTCACCAGCCCCGAGGAGGGGAAGCCCAGCAGAGAACCCAGACTCAGTGCTCTGGGAGCATCTCTCCACCCTTATCTCCAGGAGCTGCGTGTTCCCCATCCATCCCACACCAGCACCCCATGGCACAGGGACCCCTCCCCACCTGCCACTGTGGGGACAAAAAGGTGCTGGGGACCCTCCACACTGGGGACAGCCAGGTGCAGGGGACCCCTTTGGGATCTACCAGCCCTGAGGAGGGGAAGCCCAGCAGAGAACCCAGACTCAGCACTCTGGGAGGCCCTCACCACTCACAACTCCTGAGTCACCAGGTTCTCCATCCATCCATCCATCCATCCCACAGCACAGGGACCCCTCCCCACCTGCAGCGCTCCCCTGGCAGAGCCCAGCACTGCCCCACACCTCCACACCTGCCTGCCCCTCACTCACTACTCCATCACCATCACCAGCTCGGCGGGGCCCTGGAAGGCGTCGAGGCACTGCACGAGGCGTGGGTGGTGCAGGAGGTTCATCAGCTCCACCTCGGCGCGCGCCGCCTGCCTCTCCTTCGCCGTGCGCGTCCGGAAATACTTCCCAGCCCGGATTCTGCCCGTGGCCTTTTCCTGCAGCCTGTACACAGTCCCGAATTTCCCCCTGGGACAGAGGAGGATGAGGGATGGAGGAGCCACCACCACCACCCACCTGTATCCCACCAGGGCCGTGCATGGACGGCCAGGGCCATGCCCAGGGTGGGGACACGGCACCCCCACTCACTCCCCCAGCTTCTCCAGCTGCGTGTACACATCCGAAAACTTGTCCTGGCTGTTGATGACCACGTCACGGTGTTCAAAGGCCTCCTCAGCTCCTGGGGGATGGATTAAGGTGGGCCATGCAGGGATCCCCCCTGCTTTGGGGACCAGGGGCCTGTCTTCCCCTCCAGTGCTAATTTCTGTGTCCCCCCTGTTCCATCTGGGACCAACCACCCTCCCCACCCAGCGAGGATGGCACCTGGGGAGAACATGGGCACAGGAGCTCCTGGGGCAGCCCAGCACCCTGCAAGTCAGGTTTGGGGTGAAAGGTGCTTTTAGGATCAAAAATCCAAGAGAAATGGGGCCAGGATGGAATGGAGATTGGTGCTGATAGGGGGGGTGGACAGGGTCACACCATTGCTGGGGTCCCCTGTACCTCCCTGGGGCTCTGCTGTACCTTCTGCCTGGGACATGGTGGTGCCACTGGCTCCTCACAGGGTGCTGGCACAGTCAGGGCAGGTTCTGGATGTGTCCCCCAGGCTGGGACAGGGGTGCTGGGGCAGGCGATGGCCGTGTCTCTGCTCCAGCTGCTCCCTGGGGCTCTGCACCTTCTCCCTGCCACAGGAGGCCACTGGCTTCACTCCACCAGCACCCACACCCCCCATCCCCCGTGAGGGGTCCCTCCTGATGGACCCAAAAGGACCAGATTTTAAAGTGAAGCCCCTTTTTTGCATGGGGACAACACTTTTCCAGCCTCCAAGCCGATGTTTTTCCCATGCACTGTCTTACATCAGCCAGGAAATCCCCAGGAAAACCGCACTTGTAGGGCAAAGGAGCTGTTTCCTTACACGTCCCCTCCACGCTCCGTCCCCAGAAAGGCTGGGGGGACAGACAGTGACACCCAAGGGTGTCAGGCAACAGCACCCAAACCCAGCCTGGGAGCCACAGCACTGACCTGTCACTGTCCAGCCTCTCCTGCTCCAGGCCAGCTGCAGCTCGCTGCCCTGTCCCAGTCACTGCAGAGCCACCGGGCAGCTGGGGAGGGAGGGAAGGAAGGGGTGATGCTGGAGGTTCAGGACAACTGGAACCACACAAATGGGGATATCTCGGGGTACAGCTGGGAGCATTCCTCCTACTCCGGCGCTGGGAGCAGCCCTGGCTGTCCCCTCCCTTTCCTTCCCAGCAGAGCGCTTCCGGACGTGGGGGACAAACAACCCCCACCACTCAGGAGCTGTCCCCAGACCATGCCCCAACGCCCCCTTTGGCACCGTGCAGGGCCACAGATCTGCAACACAGAGCTCAGGCAGAGGAACCCCAGGGCAGGGGGGCCGCAGAGACCTGACACACCTCACCACACAGCAGAGGCCCCCTGCTCTGCCCTCCCTGTGCAGCATCTGGCACCTCTCACAGGTTAAATCCACAGTCCACCCAGCCCCGGCCAGCCCCCGCCCCCATCCCACCCATGGGTGGGTTCCTGCAGGGGGCTTGAGCACCCACACCTGCCCCCCGTCCCTGCTCCACCTGCAGCCAATATCCCATCGCTAAACCCAGCACCAGCCCTGGGCTTCGGCTTCCCGGGAGAGCTCGGCCCCGGCTCCAGGGAAGCGGGCTGAGGGTGAATGGGGAGTTACAAAACTCCTCCGGGCCTCCAAAGCAGGTGGTTTGGAGGAAAAATGTGTTTCCCAGCTTTTATCCCCCAAAAGCAGGAGCGTGCAGCCGCTCTGGCGCCCGGTGCTGCCGTTTGCCCGATTTGCCCAGATTTGAAATGGGAAGAACACCGTGATTTCCTCCCGGAGCTGACTCCAGACTCGGGATCAGGCAGTGTCACCGCGCGGGGACACGGAATCCCTGGGGACAGGGGCGGCACAGCAGCCGGGGCAGAGGGGGGGTCACCTGGGGTTACCTGCTGTCCGCAGCCAGCTCTCGGGGAGCTTTGGGGCGATGCCAGCGCCTCCAGACGCGTCCCAGCGCCGCTCCCAGGCTCGGCTCAAAGTCCACGGGCTCCGGCAGGGAGCAGGGGACAAATGTCCCCAGGGCAATGGCGGGGTCACCACGACCTCTCTGTGCCTTTGTCACCGCGACCTCGCCAGCGGCGGGGCAGAGCCGGGCCCGGGGGTGCCGCGGGCAGGGTCCCCGGGGATCAGGGATGTGCGGGTGCTCCGGGCTCGGCGGTGCCGCCGGCGCTCGGCTGGAGCCCGCTGGGATATCGACTGCGGGGACACGACAGGACACGGGGTGGCCGGGCTGGGGACAGGCAGCTGGAGCACGGCTGGGCGCATCCCGGCCGTGGACACGCTGCCTGGGCCGCTCGGCGCTCCCGGGGCAGCACGAGGCCGGGCGGGCGGGCACCGGAGACAGCCCCGGAGCGCGAGCGATCCCGGCAGCCGCTGGATGTCAGTGTTGGCCTGACCTGGTCCCGATGGCAGCGGAGAAAGGAGCAGAAAAAGAAAGATTTTGGGGTCTGGGGGATCAGTGGAGGGCTGGCAGCACCCACGGCCCGGCGGGATGTGCCGGGATGTGCCTGGCTGGAGGGTGAATCCCTCGGGAGCCGCATTCCCGGTGGTGGAGCAGCAGCAGCAGGGAAAGCCGGCTGCTGCTGCGGGGATCGACAGAGATCAATGCAGCCTCTGGGACTGCGCGTTACCGACAGCGCTCCATTCCCGGCCCTGCCCCACGCCTCTGCCCTCGGACCTGTCCCCTCCCTTGTGCCTTTGACACCTTCTCCTTGTGCCTTACAGAATGAACGAATTAATCCAATTAATGAATCATTAGTAGTCACAGCCAGGCAGCCATGTGTTCTGCCTTGGGAATCAAGGTGTCCCCATCAAGGTGTCCCCATCTGCCTGGGGGATCCTGTGGCACGGCCAGGATGGGACTCCCAGGTGATTCTCCAATCCCAAACCTGCTCGTGCTGCCCACGGGGTGCCCACCAGACTCCCCGGTTCACCCCGACCCCCCGTGCAGCCCCTCCCCATTTTGGGCTGGGTCAGGCCCCTCTGGGCAGGTTCAGCTTGTCCGTAGGTCCTGCAACAAACGGTGTCACCGCAGGGCTCAGCTGTGGGCCTTGGGCTGAGTGACAGCAGCGGGGACAGGGTCACATCAGTGGGTGCTGGGTGTCCGTCTGTCCTTGAGCCCCTTGTGCCTGAGGGAAGGGCTCGGTGACCTCAGGGGGACATGGGTTACCCCAGGGGACACCAGGGGACATGGCCCCTGCTCCCATCACCCAGGGGGACACGCTCCCTGCTCCCCATTTCCCCGGGATGAGAGACTCAGCACACGTGCCTGACGTGTGTGGGGACATGGGTGACATGGGGACAAGGAGGGCACAGGGGACTTGGGGGAGGACAGGGGCACACGGAGAACATGGGGCACACAAAGGAGATGAGCAGAGGGGACACCATGGCATGGGGACACAGGGGGGTACTCAGAGGCCCTGGGGGGACCAGGGCAACATGAAGGGGACACTGGGGACAGGGGGGACATGGGAGCCACAAGGGCCCACAGGGTCCACAGAGGCCATGGAGCAGATGGAGGGATGCAGAAGACATGCGGGGGACAGGGGACATCAGAGGAACACGGGGACACAGAGGACATGGGGCACACAGGGGGACTCCAGGGCGACACCAGCGGTGGAGGCACCAGAGACACCAGGGATGGAGGGACCTGGCAAGGTCTGGGGACACCTGGGGAACACGGGGGCACAGAGAGGGACACGGGAGGGGACACGGGAGGAGACGGGGGGGGGGGCCAACAGCCGGGGGCGCCGCTGGTGGGCGGGGCCTGCCGCGCATGAGCTGGGGGCGGGGCTAAGGTGGGGGCGGGTACGCTCGGAGCGGGGCTTCCGGGTTGGGCGAGGCCGGTGCGTTGCGCAACGCGATGGGCGTGGCCATACCCTTATTAGGAGCGGAGGGCGGGGCCAGATAGAACACACGTGTGCGGCTCTGGCGCCCCGCAGCGCTCGCGGGTGGGGGAGCGGCCGGGAACTGGGGGAACTGGAGCTGGGAGCACTGGGAATTGGATGCTGGGAGATGGGAGATGGGAGCACTGGGAGCTGGATGCTGGGAGATGGGAGCACTGGGAACGCTGGGAGATGGGAGGAGTGGGAGCACTGGGTGCTGGAAGCACTGGGAGCTGGGTGTGGAGAGCTGGGTGCGCTGGGGAACTTGGTGCTGCGAGCACTGGAAACATTGGGAGATCAGTGCTGGGAATGCTGGAATTACTGGGAACGTGCGGGTGCTGGGAGTGATGGCTGATGCCTGCTGAGAACACTGGAAACACTGGAGCTGGGTGGAAATGGGAGCACTGGGTGGAAATGGGAGCGGACGGTGGGAGCGCTGGGAGCTGTGGCTGATGCATGCTGGGAGCACTGGGATCCAGGAGCTGGGGATGCTGGAATGCTGGGGGATGGATGCTGGGGGATGGATGCAGGATGCCGGGACATGGAATGCCAGGGGATGGATGCGGGATGCTGGGGGATGGGATGCCGGGGGATGGATGCCAGAGCTGGAGATCTGGATGCTGGGGGTAGGGCACTGGGGGTTGGGATGGTGGCTGCTGGCAGCTGGGTCCTGGTTGCTGAGTGCTGGGGTCAAACCTCATTCTGCAGGATCAGGGTTGTGCAAACATCCATTGCCCCAAAATTATTCCTGCCAGTGTGGAAAGGGTTGTGGCAGCCTGGCTTTGGATTGCCACGAGGGGTGGCAGGACCCAGGGGTGGCACTCAGGGCTGGTCGTGCTCAGCCAGACACACCAGGGTGTGGAGGAGCTAAAATATGACTGGAAAAGACCCAAAACGATGGAAAATAAATCAGTCTGGATCTATAAACCACAGTATCTCTGGCACCAGCTCAGGAATCAGCCTGTGCCTGTGTGGGGTTGGCTGATCCAGCTCCTCCAGGCAGCCTCGGGACCTTGGACCTGCTCCTCAGCCTGGGAAGGTGCAGTGAGTCAGGGACGGGACTGACGGTGCTCCCAGGGCCAGGGAGGGCCTGGGGAGGGGGATTGCCTCTGCACCCTCACAACAACCCCACGGGGTGACAAAAAATGGCCCAGGGGACCTCAGAGAGCCTCAGGGTGGCTAAAGGCATGGCGGGGCAGTGACGGAGGGGCCGGAGCTGGGCTCAGAGATAAGCCCAACGCCCGGAGGTGTGCGTGTTATCAGCAGCCCAGGCTGCTCCTGATCCTGCAAAGCCCTGCGTGCTCCCCTGGTGCTCTGCTTCGGAAAGGGAAGGGAAGGACAGAGCAGGCAGGGAAGGACAGGAACAAGCAGAGGATTCCATGGATGAGGCAGTCATCAGGCTCTGTCCCTCTGAGAGCACAAAATCCCAGGAGATGGGACACACTGGGAGCCCAAGCCCACCTGCACTACCTGGGGACTGATGTCACAGCTCCTGATACAGAAATTCCCAGAAATGGGTGTTTTCTGGCCTGTGGGGATGGGTCAGCACAGGGAGAACACCTGAGAGCTCAGGGGGTGTCAGGAGCAGCCCCCCTGTCCCCGGAGCACCCCAGAGCTCCTGGCTCTGCCTCCCTGCTGGCTCCCAGGGACATCCCCACAGACCGGGCTGGGGGACAGGGACAAACCCTCTGGAGGGGCTGTGCAGGGCCAATGCCCCCATCCTGGGCCTGCGGGGACAGGAACAGCCCCCAGGGACAGGGGGCACCTGGTCCCATGCCGGGGTGATGCCTGGAAGCCCCTTCCTGGGATGTGGCACCAGGGTCACTGTCACCAACCCCCCAAGCTCTGCAAAAAGGATTCTGTCCCCCTTACTACTGCTCCTACTGAGACAGCCCAGGGGGAAGTGGGTTTGTCCCCTTCCTCCCCACCCAGTTCCCAAGATTTGGTCCATTTTACACCTCCCCATTCCTTTTCCCACTTAGGAACAGCCAGGCCATATCCAACACCAACCCTCTGGCCAGAAAACGTTTGGCACAATTAATGCTCACTCATTAAAATCACATAATGGGGAGAAGAATTTATATTTACGATTGGGGATTTATCACCTCAGGGAAAAAAAAAAAAAAAACCAAAAAAAAAAAAAAAAAAAAACCCAAAAAAACCCAAAAACAAAATAAAGGAAAAAAAAACCAAACCAAAAAAAACTAATCCCTCCAGCAAACCTCTTTGTCTTTTTGTAACATCAGAACTTAATTCCAAATGCTTCAAGTGGCAGCTCAGGCTAATTCCCTGTTCTTCCCAAAAATCACCCAGGGACAGGGCCTGGGCCCAGCCTGCCCCAGAAAATGGGAGTTCAAGATGACCAACCTCGAAGGGAGAGGCTTTTTAGGTTTGTAGTGAGGGTTTTTTGGTGTTTTTTTCCTTTTATTTACAAACAGTATTGTTTATTTTTGCCTTTTACGTGCCCTGATGCCCCAAGGACACATTCCCTTGAAATTCCTGCTGACTGAACTCCCTGTCCACACCCCACAGGGCTCAGCCAACAAGGGGCACAACCAGAGGGTAAAAATCCCCTTGAAACCCTTGGGAAAGCTCGTGGACTTTGTCCTTTGGGTCACTTCTCTCCTTGAGATCTGAGATGGAGGCCAGATAACCCTGGGAGGAGCCCTGGGCAGAGCTGGAATTGGGCAGAGGGGTGATTTGGGGGGAGAACTGTCACCCTCTGAGCACACCGAGCTCCCACCGTGCTGAGGGGACACGTCTCTGCTAATTGTGGTCTCTGTGTGTTAATTGTGATCCATCTAATTGCGATCTGTGTGTGCCCGTTGTGATCCTGATCTGTGTCTGCTGCTGGAGCGGTGCTGGAGAAGGACAGAGCATTAGAGAGTTAAACTTCAGACGGCTGAAGAGAAAGCCAGGCCTCATTTGGGGCCGAACACGCCGGTGAGGCGCTGGGGTCACCCCCTCGATGCAGGCCCCCCGCTGGATCCTCCCCGCCGTGCAAGGCCTGGGCCCCGGGGCCGCCCCGGCCGAGCAGCCCTCAGGGCTTTCGGTGTCGCCATCCCGGCCAAAACCCTCCTCCCGGAGCCCCACGGGCCCTGCCCGCCCCGCCGAGGGGCTCGGGGCCCGCGGGAGGCCTCGGTGTTCCCCGTTCGGCCCCCGCCGCTGCAGCGGGCCCGCTTCCTCCGCCTACCGCCGTGACACAGCGCCCGCCACGTGGGGCCGCGGGGCGTCCTGGGGCGGCGAGTCCGCAGCCGCCCCGGCCCCTCCACTGCATCGCGTAGGTGAACTACAACCCCCACAATGCCTCGCGGTGGTTACACGCACAGTATTTTCCTCTGCTGTTCGCGTTTCCATTGGCTCCGCCGGGCCGCCACGCAGTGGCACGGCGGG